AACATATAATCAGTTCAGTATTCAATGTATGCTAACAGTTGCAAAACTTACAATAGCTCACGGCACTGTCTAACAGCCAGCTTCCAAAACACTCAGATCAGATCATCCCATCATCAAACGAAACAGAGAGCTAAAAGTCATTCTGGCTCCCTCTTATGGCCGATTGAGGAAACGGCAACCAATCACATTTTACAGTATGCTTTAAAGAAACAGGTACAACATTGTTACATGATTTATATATTGCCAACCCAACCGTTAGAATTATATTCCTAACAGTGGTCATACGTGCGATAAATGATCATGTCACTTTTTTCAATCCCTTTGTAACTTTGAACGGTCGCCAAATGAACGATTGTAAATCGAAGACTCCCTGTAATACCCACTCTTAAATATTCCTATTGTGCTCTTTTTCCCCCTTACAGATGACTATGTGGCCATTGGTGCTGACTGTGAGCAACTTGCTGGGCAGATTGAAGAATATATCCTTTCCTTGTTTGTGGTATCAGGAAACCAAACCGAAGAGATACGTAACCTGATATTATTCAGATGTTTTGGCCTGCAGTCCCCTTACCCTCCTTTAGGCATGTTAAAGGCCTTGAAAATTGAATCCCAGACACCTGAGGGTATCACCTTGTAGGAAGTTACCACATTTCTTCCAACAACCTAAAACAAAAAAATAAAATAAAATACAGGATTCTGATTCAGAGGTTACTGTATTTTTGGGAGTATAAGACATATCTTTTTCCCTTAAAAAGAGAGTGAAAATCTGGGTGCGTCTTATACACGGAATACAGCATTTTTGGCCTCCCGAAACCCCGCCCCCTATGCAAAAATGGATGTGCATAGTCTTTAGGAGGCTTCCAGAGTACTCCTGGGCCCTGGGGAGGGCAGAAATGAACTAAAAATGGGCCATATTTTGCTCGTTTTTGACCCATGGATCAATTAGGGTAAAGGTATTATGCATGTGGAAACTCCAGCAGGGGTTAAAGGTCTATGGAGATTCTCCATCATCCAGGTCGTGGTTGTCCCAAAGGTGCTTTTTCATGAGGCCACTGGACTTCCTTGGTTTTTTTTTTCTTTGAAGAGAAGTATTGCCTCCCATTGGAGATGCAGACAACCCAGACTCATCCCCAGCAGCCTCACACGCGTGTCTTCAACAGGGAAGGGACCCTGGGCAGAAAAACATCCTGCAGTCAAGAGGGTTCCATGTCCATTTGCACCACTCAGGTGACCCTGAGGACACAGATGAGCCTCCAAGTGGCCTCAANGGTCACATGGCTGGCAAGCCACTCCCATCTGGTCACATGGGTGGCAAGCCACTCCCACAAAGGAGGCCACACCCACAGAGTAGGTTCGAACAATTTTTCAAACCCACCACTGAATAGAACTCACACCTTCCCAGTTTCTAGCCAGATGCCTGTTATTATTAATATCAATATGGCTTCCCTACTTGGCTTAATTGAATTGGGGAAATATTACTTCTCTACTGACAAAGATTCTCAAGAAGCGATGATGACTCCATTTTGACAAACAGGTTATAATGTCCTTTTTCTGAACCTTACAGTTATAAGTGGAAAAATAATAATAAACACCTGCAAAACTCAGTGGACTTTGTGCATTTCTTTTTATTCTTATTTATTATTTGATTGGCTTTCATTTCTCCTGTCTTTCTCACACTCCTCCTTTTATTAATAAAGGGCATTTCTCATTTTGTTGCTTTTATTTCATTTGTAGTTTTCTTTCTTTATTAATCCAACCTTCTCTTTATGTACATACAATTTATTTTGACTTAAGTAGCATCACCCTGCAACATAAGTGGATAAGGATCCTTTTATCCTTTGGCCAGTGATAAACAAAATTACTGGCTATGCCACCTGCCCTAAATCATACAATATCTTGGCTCCAGCTGTACCAGTGTACCCTTATTCCAAATTCCTTCGTAGGATTATCACCCCGATTCCGCGTGTGTCAAAACCACCCAAATTGCGAGTTTGGGATTTCCATTCAGTGGCCTTGGAGTAATCCTAATTTTCCCTAGAACATGATTGAAGCATTTTCTGGATAGAGACACACAGATATTTAACCTTAAAATGATTCTACATAATCTGAACACCTCATAAGTGATTGTTTAGAGAGTTGGTTGGGCCATTACTCTGCTGAACATCGAATTCCCACAGTGCTGTCTAATGTCCATGTAGTATTACTATTATTTATGCTTATTATCTTTCTTACCCTCCCCTCTTATTGGTATGATTATGATGATGATTGTCATTATTCTGTTGCTTTGCATGGACACTATGAGCGTCTGCATTGGAAACAAATTCCTTGTGTGCATGATCACCAAATAAAGTATTCAATTCAATTCAATTTACCATCGAACCACATCTTGCTATGGCAAATATTCAATAATACAGAGAAACACGATCCATTGTGCAGTTTGGGTATTATGAATGATTTTTTTTATTGATCCAAAGGTGCTTTTTCAAAAAGCAACTGGACTTTCTTTGTTCTTCCTTGAATTCATTTCACTTCTCATCCAAGAGGTTCCTTCAGTTCTGACTGAATAGTGGGGAATGGAAGGATTTATATTATTTGCAGTCATGTGGTTGTTAGCACTCTCTCTAAGAGTCATTGAGGCCACTTGGAGGTTTATCTGTATCCTCAGGACCTGAATCAAAGTACAAATAACAGAATAACAGAGATGGAAGGGACCTCGGAAGTCTTCCAGTCCAACCCCTGGCTCAAGCAGAAGACCTTATACCAGAAGTTTTCAAACTTGGCAACTTTTAAGACTTTTGAACTTCAACTCCCAGAATTCTCCAGCCAGCTCTGCCCCAGCTCTGTTGGCTGGAGAATTCTGTCCACAAGTCTAATAGTTGCCAAGTTTGGAGATCCCTGCCCTATACCATTCCAGATAAGTGGCTATCCAGTTGGTTGAGGTCATGAAAGATATGGGTGTACCACCATAATTGAGCCCACAATTTCTGTTGCCAAGTGAGACATTTGCTCAGTTAGTTTTGCCCCATTTTACGACCTTTCTTGCCACCGTTGTTCAGTGAATCGTTGCAGTTGTTGAGTTAGTCCCACGGTTGTTGAGTGAATCTGGCTTCCCCGTTGAGTTTGCTCGTCAGAAGGTCGCAAAAGCTGATCAACGTGGCAACTGTCATAAATACGAGTCCGTTGCCCAGCGTCTTGAATTTTGACCATGTGACCATGGGGATGCTGCAAGGGTCGTAAGGGTGAAAAACGGTCGTAAGTCCCTGTGACCTGTTCCTTATCAGCCCAACCTATGTCAGCATTTTGCACCGCTTTTAAGATTCAGGAGATTCTTTGCACAGTGGATGTTGAAGCTACTCAGAACTCTTACTTAATGGTTACTGCTGTTGTGTAGAAGGCAATTCAATGAATCAATCGGAATAGAGCGGGAAGGGACATTGGAGGTCTTCTAGTCCAACCCCCTGCTCAAGCAGAAAACCCTATACCGTTCCAGACAAGTGGCTCTCCAGTCTCTTCTTAAAAACCTCCAGTGTTGTAGCTCCCACAACTTCCGGTGTCAAGTTGTTCCACTGGTTGATTGTTCTCACCATTAAGAAGTTTCTCCTTAATTCCAGATTGCTTCTCTCCTTGATTAGTTTCCATCCGTTGCTTCTTGTCTGGAGAATAAGTTGACCCTCTCCTCTTTGTGGCAACCTCTCTGATTTACCTGTATGAGCCGAGGTGGCGCAGTGGTTAAATGCAGCACTGCGGGCTACTTCAGCTGACTGCAGTTCTGCAGTTCGGCTGTTCAAATCTCACCGGCTCAGGGTCGACTCAGCCTTCCATCCAGGGGTGGGTTTCGACCGGTTCGCACTGGTCCCTGCGATCCGGTTGGTCGCCGAACCCGGAAGTAAGTAACTTCTGGGAAC